TTTGGTTATCGATGGAGCTATTAACCATTGCACTCCCAGGACTCCCTCCTTATTACCGAGCCACCCTTAACTTCCTTTAAGGCCCATGGTTCGCCAGGCCGATCTTACCTAGATCCTCAGGGTCTTCTTGGGAAGGGCTGAGAGCTAGGACGGAAAGGGCAGAGGAGGAAGACACTGCCTGTGACCGCTAGTCCCCACTCCCCACTCCTCCATCTTCTTGTCCCCTACGTTCCCTTCCCCAATTTCCTTTCAGCCCCGCTGCCAGCACCCACGTTACCCTACCTCTCTCCCGGCGGTCTCACCTGAGTCCTGGAAGTCTCCTGGGGCGGAGCTGATGGCTGGGGAGGTAGCAGGAAGCAGAGAGAGGTCGGGACGCCCATCCACCCTCTGTGATCTCGCTGACGCCTTCCTTTCCTAGGACCTATGACTTTCCTTCCCCCTTGCCAACGAAACCCTCTTCTTCTCTTCCCCACACCCCCATCGCCTCCCTCTCCGGAGGCTCCCCTCCCCTTCCTCCGCAGGCTGATTTCCTCCCACTCGGACACCCCATTCTGCACCCAGAGCCCAGGAGGCCTGCTGCAAAAACTCCCCAGATACTAGGACCTAGGTCCCTTGCCGCTCTACCCCAAGGTTACCAAGGATCATGAATGGAAGCAGCAGGTGCTGGGACATGGCACAAGGAGCGGGAGAGGTCTGCTGCCTGTCCCAGTTCTGTCACTGCGAGGCAGCTCTGGGACTCCTGATGGTCTGGGAACAGCCCCACCCTCTCTGGCTGCAGCCCATCTCTGGGAATCTGAGAGCATCAGAGGCTGGAAGGGGGAAGTAGGGAACTCGAGGGCCACACCCAGAACCCTGTGAGCATCTCACAGCCCTGAAGACCCAGGACAAAGGGTGAGGGGCAAGTATCCCAGCTCCAGGATATCTGATGGGTGGGGGGAGGAGGGCGGCGTGGAGAACCTTGTGGGCAAAGGTGGCAGGAGCGGACAGTGTGAGCCTGGGAGACCAGTGTCCTGGGTCTTTGGTGAAGAGGCAAGGCGGGTTGGGGGGGCAGGGGTGAGGACCACTGGGGAGGTAGCCCCTCGCTGGTGTGACTCACCTGAGACCTCACTTCTGTTTGGGGTGCAGCTGCCCCGATGGCCTGGCCTTTTCTTCTCACACAGCTCTGGTTACTGGAGTTGCTGGCCAGGTTTGGGGCGGGAGCCCTGGGGAATTCAATCTCATCCAAACAAAAGGATCATAGATCCTGGCCGCCTGGGCTGGACACAGGGATCCTGGGAAGGGGGTGTGTGTGCAGGGGGGCTGAAAAGGCCAAAAAAGACTCCACCCCTCTCTATATTGGGATGTGCACTCTCCCTCTGTCCATTCAGGAAACACATGGACCGCTGAGAAGAAGTAAGGAGAATTTCACCCTTTCATGACCCGAGGGACATATATGGCCCACCTGCATTTTATTCTTCTGGGGTTGATTGGGCAGCCCTGTTTGTTGTAAGCTAACAGCTTGCATGACCACTATAACCCCTGAGGTTCCAATTTTGTGTATTAAGCGGCGCGAGTGGCTGCAGGGTGACCGAACTTCTCTCAAACCCCAGCAGCCCCTCACTGGTGCAAGGGGTCCACTGATGAAGGTGTTTAAAAGCAAAGCCCGGAGGACAGGTGGCAGGTCTGGGTTCTATCACACAGCTGTACAAACAATTTCCAGGAGCCAAAGCAAGCGCTCATTTACAGAAACGGAAGGATACATTCTGGGAACACTCAAACATTCAAGGTTGTGAAGGGTCCTCGGGCCCTGGCTCTGACCCTTGAGATGTCCTGAGAACACAGGCAGGGGTTGGGTCGGGAGGAGTTCCAACAATCTTAAAATGGCGTTGCCTATGTCAAATCGGCTTCCACACACTGACTGTGCGTGCAGCCTCTGGGAGAAGACCTGTAATTGGGCGCATGTCACACGTGACTGGTGTTGC